GAAACATAATAAACTTCCAATTAAGGAGGATTACCTCCATCACTGGAAGGATCTGGACCTGACAATGGCTAAATTTTGAGCAATATTATTGAGTAAAATTGACATTAGTAGGGGTTGGACCAAGGTGGTAAATACAACCTACTCCACCTATAAGATTTTGTAATATCACACACAACTCAGACACAAAGACCGTGCAGTTGTAGTATGGGCAATCAGCTTTACTTGGCAGTGTCATCTACATCTTGTACAGATGGAACAATTTTGTCTGTATCTTTTAGCTGATACTTGAAATGGTGACTCCAAGAGAGTAGGGTGATTTCCCTCCACCTCACTACAGAATTTTTCAGCCCTATCTCAGACACAGGAACATAAAAGATTGGAGATTCTTTCCATCACTTCTGCAGATAACTTCAGTGACATTTCCTCTGTGGATGATGAATCTGGAATGGTCTTTTGCTTCATGTGACCAGATATGTTTCTCAGTTTCCTTATGATAGATATAGAGCTCATTGACTCTCGTGTCTCTCATTTCAATTCTGTAGATACTTTTCAAGAAAATTCAGGGCCAACATCCACAGACATAAACAGTATGGAACACTAGTTCTTCCTATCCCATTTCCTTGGAAAGAACTCAAGATCGACTTCATCAAATCAACCTGGAGTTTTCATTTCTGAAACAATTTTCTAATCCTTCAAAGATTCTGGCCCTTTTTCTGATGTATTTAAATAAAATCTACTTTATCTTCAGGTTTCTTCCCTTGATATCCAGTCACCCATCCAAAACCTAAAAAAATAAATAAATAAGAAGGCATATTTGTTTTGCATTGCACTGAACTGAGAATTAATTTATCAATCATGACAGTACAACACTGATGTTTCACTAAAATAATTCAGAGGGTACAAGGTGCTTCTAGAGATTATTCTTTTCCCAGAGCATGCTTCACTTCTTATTTTAGTCAAGATTTACACGAACCCCAATTTTAAACACATTCCTTTTCCCTGCATTGTATATCATATTACAGAACTATACCAAGAAACACTGTCATGTATGCTGTCAACATGGCCTTACCCTGATTGCAGCAAGATGGCAGCCAGCAGTGTAGCTAGTGAGATCTCCCACTCTGGAGTCCAACTCTAGGATTCCTCATTTACAATCTGTAGAGGTGTGTCTGAGTTGCTCTATTATTCTACTCCTCAGCTTTTTTGTCTACAAGATGGGAATACAATAAATTGGATTTCCTCTAAAATGTTGTGATAATTAAATGGAATCAACCATGTAAAGCATGTAGCACAACACTTACCTCATTTGAGGCATTACTCTTTATTATTCAAATTTATTACACTAGATATTGACATTTCACTGAATCAATCCAAACCCTTAAGATTGAAAAATAATAACATTCCAATTTCTAATTTAAGGTTGCAAGGGAAGTATTTATATTTTGTTCCAAGTAACTTGCCCTTTTAATTGGTATGAGTCTCAATTAAAGTTGACTTATACTCTGCCTCAGTCAATTCCTGACTTTAGACAGGGTCCAGTGGAATGAATGTGACTACAACCAACAGATGTGGTTCATTGTCTGAACTTTGACACCAACCAATTTACCATGGAAAACTCTTTCCCATCTCTGATCCTAAAGTTTATCAAAGAAAACAACAACAACAAAATTTTCCCAGCTCTCTTTCAGACCAAGTATCCAGTGGTCACTTCCAAGGACACCTTTCCTAAGTGTCCCAGGATAAGCAAAGAATTTCACCCAGTGCTGGAGAAAATTTTAGGTAGCAAGGAAACAAACAAGGATAGATATTTTCCCAAGTAAAAAGACCATAATTCCTTTAGAATAATCCTTTCTAATGTGGTATATCAGTCAGCAACACTTTTAAGGTTGCTACTGAGTGCAATGTACAATTGTGTACAGAGGAATATGAAACAACATTCTAGAATATAGCACCATGGTCCTTAAAGTAGTTCACATAGTAGTTGACTTTGTTATACAACAGCAAAAGTTAGCCATGAAACAAATTTAATTAATTATTTAATTGTAGGGAAACACTTTTATAATGTTGTCTTGTGCAAGACACCCCTCTAAGCACTTTGCATATTAATTCATTTTAACAACCCTTATGAGATATTTCCTACTAGTATACCAGTTTTTTAGATAAGAAAACTTGGTAGCTTTGTCCAAGCTTGCATAGGTAATAAATTTTAAAACTGGGACTCAAACTCACTACTCAGTCTTGGTATCTTAGCATCCTGAGCCAATTAGGAATTTTCTTTTTATATATCTGCTCTCCTTTAATTTCAAAGTAACAGTGCACTCAATTCTGATACCCAGTATTCTGTGTGATTGACATCATTGCCTCCACAAATATTATGAGAGTGTTTTTGTACATAGCTGTAGTAGGCACTGGAATTCAAATGAGAAAATAATAAAATGTTTTAGCATTGAAAATCCTGTGAATTGTATTAATGTCCCCATTTATCATAGAAGAAAAGCAAGGTTCAAAGAAATTGACAGAGATGAAAGCTAAGTAAGTCTTCCTACTTGTTTCCACCAGCTTGCAATATGAAGAAAGTAAAAAGTACAATGAAACTTTAGTCTGAACAGGTGGGGATTATGAGATGTTTTAAGTCATCAATAAGAAACATTCAGGAAAGAAGTCATGGAGACTTGGGCTTGGAATATATAGGAAAAGACATTTCCCAGTGGGAAAAGGTTAGTAATAAAAAGGAATCCTATGCAAATGATTGAACCCTCAGGGTTAGGCACTGGGGGTGTTTCTGTTGAGGGTGTATAAAGTCTTAAGATGCCCTGCCCCAGCTTAGAGAAAAGAAACCCATATCCCACAAAGCAGAGAAGGTCACCTAGTGATAATCACCACACATTTGAGTAGACATCAGCAATGTAATTGAAAGGATCCCAGAATTGGAAAGGTGGTCATTCATTACAACTTCAACTCACTATAATGATAGTGATGATGTGATTTATGATGAAGAAGGTGATGATTTTGATGACTATGATGATAAGAAGGAAGAGAAAGACTAAAACACTAAAATTATAAATACTGTTTTAAAAATCCCATTATCAGGCCAGGCATGGTGGCATATGCTTGTAATCACAACTACTTGGGAGGCAGAGACAGGAAGATCACAAGTTCAGTTCTAGCCCAGGCAAGTTAACAAGATGCTATCAAAAAAAAAAAAAACAAAACAAAATACAAACAAAAGGGCTGGGGGCTCAAGTGTTATTGTGCTTGCCTGACATGCTCAAGGTCCTGGGTTCTATCCCCCCCAAAAAAAATCCATATTATCAAATCTATATAACCAAGCTGGTTTGAAACTTATCAGCTAGCCATGTTGTGCAAAGTACAATTGTGTTCAACTCATTAAATAATATTTTAAATAATCAAATTTTGTGGAACTTGTTGTTAAAAGGAATTCAAATATTTACCATTATTTGAATTAATTATTTTGTGGCTAACTTGCTTATTTCCAAGCTGGCAGGTATGAGTCTCTATGATGATGTACAGATCTTTGGCAGAATTCCTGGTAACCGTTAATGACATGAACTCTCTATGGTTTTATCAGTGGTGAGGATGGCTTATAGTGATTCTTCAAGGCCATGTTTCTGCATCCCTCCAAATACCAAGCAAGTTGTCAGCCACTGGACAGAAACCTCAGTAGTAAGAGTAAAAAGGGCACGGTTTGCAAAAGCAATAAATGTAAAGTTTCTGAGTGCCACTGTGCTTCATTCAAGTCCAGGCCCCTCTCAAACTTAACCACTACACTGAGCAGGTAAGTTCCACTCTAAAACCTGGACCACACCCAGAAGTCAGCAAGAGAGTAAATGTCCCATAACTGCTATTGCAAACACCACACCAACAAATTAGACTAATTTTATTATTTCATTAATTTCATTGACCTGACTGAAACCTTGTCTTGGTACTGTGGACATTGAGCCTAAGAGATTGTGAGAGGGCTGTTTACCAGCCTCCTGGGTAAGGTAACTTGAAACTCAAATCAAGGCTTACAAGGTTCCAATGGCAGGATGAGCTGTCTCCAGCTCATCACAAAAATAAAATGATCTGTACTGTGTGATCTATAGAAAGCTGCTAGACCTCTGTAGCATTAAGGGAAAATGTGGCTTGATTTAGGCTAGTTCTAATGTCTTTTTCAGTTTTATAAAAACTTTCTTCTCTCTGAAAGTAGGTAATTCCTCAGCTTAGTGGCTCCAACATGGTTCATGAGACAGGCAGGAGTGAGACAAGTACACATTCAATGCTGACCTTCCAGAAGCTTTTAAAACTGGACAATGAAATTACTGAGTACTCTGAGTAATCAAAATAAAGTTACCACCATTCCCCAGGGCCACATCAAGCAGACAACAGAAGGGCATCAAGCATATTTGTCTATCCATCTTGGTGTCTCTTCTGCGAGACAAAGGGCTTAAATTAGGCTTACATGAGTGGAGACCTTGTAGGCTGCTTTCTATTCTAAGATTCTGTAAATTTATTTTTAACAGATCTTATTTTTAAAACAAAGGGAGGCAGAAAGACACACTGGTAAAACATTCCCCATATTTTTAAGCCTAATAAGAAACAGAGTGAGGACTTTAAAAAATGATTTAAGTTTACTCATGAAGAAAATCCATGCAGATTTGATTTGCTGCATATATGGCTGTGTGTTCTTCTATTTTATTAAAATGATGATAGGCCACAGGGAGGCAAAGAGTTAAATAAGCTCATGCAAAACCCCCTCCCACACTCTTTACTATGGAGGGAACTTTAACTCCTGAGTTCTCATTGGAAGGTTAGTTGGAAGGATAGAGATGGCGCTCTGTATTTTATGACAATATGGATCCCTCTTAATTTTTTTTAAAAGATTCAATTACCTTGTTCCTTCTTTCAGTTTCCCCAACACTAAATATTCCTAAAACTTAACTCTTCCAAAGTTTTACTCGGCTGCAAAGTAATCCATTCTCCTTTTTTTTTAATTACAGTATTCTCAGATGAGGGATGAAGTATTCAAGTCAAACTTGGTCTGTGCATTTATCGTTCTTCTATTTATCACGGCAATACAAAGTTTGCTTCCTTCTTCAAGGTAAATACAAAAGGACTAAATTATCAGGTGAATGTCTCTATGAAATGATGACTCCTCACCTGGAGCCAGACAGCTGACCTTTTCAAAGGATCAGAATTTAAAATGACTGGGTCCAGTATCCAAACCACATCGTTCAGCAATTCAATGTCTATTTTGATTGTCTCACTCTGCCTAATAACCTCATTACTCTGCCAAGGCAAGAATCTTTTTCCCAACCTTAATAAAAACAACCAAATTAAAATAGCTCCCTCCCTTATTGGACATTGCGATCATGAATGCAGAAAGTATGTAAGAGCCTCAATCACCACTTACTTGTTCATTTGTCCATGTGAATTATTCTTACATATGGCATGATAGCTTCCTAGGCCAGAGAAATTGACACTTTAATTATACTGCAAACACCTTTGTATGTGCCATATGCTTCCAAATATTCTATGTTTAATAACTCAAGAAATCCTCCTAGCAACCTATAAAGTAGGTTGTATGATTGCTCTCATAGAACTGAGGCTCACAGTAATGAAATATGTTGTCCAAGTTCTCAAAGTTGAAAACTGATACAGCCTGGATTCAAATCCAAGGAATCTAGCTCCAGAGATGTGGTTCCTAACAAGGGCATTGGCAGAAACCTTACAAGATGAGTCTTGTGCTGTTTACTCTTGGTTGTTGACCTGGTTGGATTGAGAGGTACATAGAAAAAATTGATGAAGTACATTTCTGGACGTATCCATGAGTGTGTTTCCAGAGATAATTGCATATGGATCAACTGTCTGAGTGGGGAAGACCTGCCCTGAATGTGGGCAGAATAACCAAATAGACAAGGAGACCATATGGAATAAAAAGGGAAGAAGAGGGCAATTCATGCTCCCACACACTCAATTCTTCTTGAGACGCATGGTTCTTTGCTGTTGTGACCTGTGGACACAGACTCCAGATTCTCCAGCCTTTAAATGTGAACTTGAACCAACACATCTCCAAGGGGCTTCCAGGCTTTCAGATTTGAACTGAGCCAACATCATTAGTCCCTCTTGTTCTCAGACTTCCATCTTCTTAGACGAAGCAGCTATTGTTTTCCACAACTCTCCAGGTGACCATTTGGGGACTATTCTGCCTCTGATGATGTGAACCAACCTAAAAAATCCCCTCTAATAATCATATTTCTCCTATTGGTTCTGTTCTTCTGGAGAGTCCTCTCTAATACAACCCTAGAACATCTTGTCCTATAAAAAAGAAAGGAAGCTACCAACCACTATTAGAGTCATGTCAAAAGGACTCAGAAGTCATGAAAGAATCTTCTAGTGTCCAAAGATGGAATAACTTGAGCATAGTATGAATAAATATTAAAGCATTTGAAATCCAGCAAGTATATCAAACTTCACGAATTTATTATATATTCTTTAAAATTGGTAATCTTTGAAGGGTAATAGGGAACTGGTTCATGATTTTAGAAACAGATGCCAAAGTGAAAAACACTTTTTTCCTTTCCTGTATGAATTGTACTAAAAGATCAGCATCCACAATAGGAAAGAAGTAACATCATAAAAAGTATTCCAGCTAGAAATTTTTAAGGAAATGATAGAATTAAAATATCACCATTTTCCAATCCCCAGTGGATTAATGGATCAAAGAATTGAGCATCAAAGAATAATAACAGCACAAAAAGGAGAGACTATCACAATCACACCTCCTGATGGAAGCACGTGATACTACCCATGGCCTTACTAAAGAGATGAAACCTAAGTCTAATCATACCTTTGAGTCCAGCTTCCAATTTATAGGAATTACAGAGGAGAGAAAATTATGTCTGAGTACCCAACAATAAAATCCAGACTGTGGCAAATGCTGCAGGTCAAAGGCACATAGTATTCAATAAATAAATTGTAAAGAAAATAAAAGACAGAATTTACAATCGATTTTTTAAGATTTAAAAGATAAATCAAATTTGACTTAAAAAACAAGTGAAACTAAACTAGGCTATCTTCTAATGGATTATAAAACTATAAAGAAATGGGAAGTGATTAATGGGGTTTGAAAAGAGGATTATAATTGTGACAGGGCACATATATGGGCTTTTGCTGCATCCCCAAGGATCTATTTAAGAAATTAGGTCCTGGCTTTTACAAAGGCATACACATTGTAACAACTAATCAAGATATACTTTTGTGTGAGTTTATTTATGCTTCATTTTACAACTTAAGAGAATTTCTTGATGAGAGGGAGGGAGGAAGAGAGAGAGAGAAAGAGAGAGGGCCTGTGTACCTCTGCCAAATTTGGAAAGCCTTCCACCAATAGCCATTGAATGCTTGAATTATGTGCCAGACTTGTTGTAGATATTAGGAGTATTTCTGAAAACAAAACATTAAAAAAAATAAGGGTCTCTCCTCCTGGTCCTTATAACCCAGTGGAATAAGAAAAAGAAATAATTTTAAAATTTATGTATATCTAGATATATATTCTATATATGTAGCTGCCTATATGCTGTGTACATAGACACATATTTAATATAGATATGATACACAAAGATTAGATCAGAGAAGGATACCGGAGAGCACTAGTAAAGAATGGGTTTCATGATTTCCCAAGAGCCTATGAGAATTAGAGTGTCAGAGTAGTGACTTGTGAGTGTTCGTGGGGTCTCTCTGGATTCTGCCAAACATCCTAGGTATCTCTCTTCACTTGTGTCAGTGGGATGTGGGAGCCAAGTAGGGCAAAGTCATACTTGTTGCATGTTCCTCCGGAATCTTACAGCACCTGCTATGCACCTGTCTGTGCTGGACAAGGGAGACACACTGCCAGGGCCCTAAATCCAGTGTAGGTAAAAGCAGCACAATTAGCTGAACAGCTATAACACAGGGTTGTGCCTACTGTGATAGGGAAAGTATAAAGTAGGATAGGCTATGTGGGTGGGTATGAGGCAGGCTTCCCAAAGGAGGTGACAATGACAGCCCAATCATCCTGAAGATGCTCACCAGTCATAAAAAGGACCGAAAAAGGCTGGAAATGATGTTCTGGATAAGAGCAGTGCATATGCTTTGTTAAGGAGTCATGGCAGGTCGGCAGCATTTTAATCAAAGAGGTGATGTAATTGGATTTGTGTTTAGAAGTCTCACACTGGACATAGACAATGGATAGGAGGAAGTGAGATCAGGAGTTAGGGAGACCAATTAAGAAGCAATTATAAAACTCCAGGCAAGAAAAAATAGGGGAAAAAGAGTGGTTATGGGTGGACAGAAGAGGAAGATTGATTAGATATTTAAGGCACACAGTTGAGTGTTCCCAGTGACTGACTGGATGAGGGAGGTGAGGTAGATGAAGGAGACCTGGATGACCCTGAGGATCTGGATTTGGCATGAGACAGAAAGGATCACTGTCCTTCAGGGCAAGTGAACATCACAATTCCAAGCCAACCTTTGAAAGTTCCCTTTGCAGGTGGTGCAACAAGGGGAGGTGATCCAGGCTTGACACCCTGATTCCTGGGTTCAAAGAGAAGAGACCTGACACCTCACCCAGCAGGTACATGGAAGGAGTCTCTGACTCTGGGTACCAACTACAGCCCATAACAGCAATACAGCCTGTGCTGAACCTCATCTGCTTAGCTACTTTGAAAACCTAACCATGAAGGAAACTGCAAAGATGAACTCTGACCAGACAATTCCCATTTTGTGGGAACTGAGTGATCCATTTGCCTGGATGCAACAAAAGCTTTCTTACTGTGTGCTGGTTTCCTCTTCAACTCATTTTGGTGCTGATTGATGCCTTGAGACTGAACAGATGGTGGGTGCCTTTCCCTTGCATTTCTTCTGTCATGGATTTTTTTAATAGATGAAGCAATCTCTACTCACATGACCACAGCTAATTCCCAGCCCTTGAGGCAAAACCTAATAGACCTTGGCAAAGGAGGAAAATGCAATTTCGGCTCTTCTTTTGTTTGTTTGTTTCCTCATGCTCACAAATGTCCCTCTCCCAGAGGGTAAAACTGAGGGAAAAAGCCAAAAACTACCTTAAAACATCTTTAGTGATTATAGAACAAAGTACCTGAATCTACATGCATGTGATGACAGTTGACAGAGAAGGAAAAGAGAAAGAATAGAAAGAGGGAAAAAGAAGGGCTAATAAGCAAAAGAGGAAGATAGGAAGCAAAGAAAGAAAGAGGCACTGGTCTGGTTACTATTGTGCATTTTGCTAGCTGTGTGTATGTATTTAACCTCTCAGAAGCTTCAGTTTCCTCATTGACAGTGGGAATAAAAACGCCCATTCCCCATAATTACAGTAGGAATTAAACCAACTATGCTCATCTTTAGCAAATTCTAGCTACCTCCTTCCCAAGCCAAATACTTTCATCTGTTGAAAGAGCTAAGAATATCTGCCTCTCAGAATTGCTACCAGGATCGAATGCACAATTGAACTCATAGGCTGTTTGCAGATTCTAAAGTGTCATACAAATGTCATCTTTGGTATGGTCTGAATCTCTGTTTCCCTTTGCACCACAAACTGCTATAGGCTTTTCACTGATCTTCACTGATCACTGCCTCTCCAGCAAATGTCAAATTGTAATATCAACCCAAAGACACACTGCAGAGAATAATTAGAACTTAATGTTTAGAAATGATTTGGATAGAGCTGTTTGCAAATCCCTCGTCATTCTTTATGAGACTCAATTTCAGAAATGAAAGGTTTCTTTGCCTCTTATGTGCACCAATAATGCAAAAGCAATTTTGGGACCCCTGGACACTGGAATAGCTCTATAATTAGATGAAATTTATAATCTGATGCTATAATGTTTATGTGTGAAGAAATAAATGAATGCTGAGGAGCTGCTGCAGAGACTTCCAGAGGAATTTTATGCTCAGTGCCAGTACCTTGCCTCAAAAACTTGTGTTGTAATTAATACTCTTCCCATAGATCTTTAAAATGCCTTTGGTGTCCCAAATGTCACTATGACTAGAAGAACTAGCATGTCTTTGATTCCTTATTATATTACTTTATCACTTTGTTTAACTTAGAGCTCCATTAAAAGGTAGATCTAAGCATCCCAGTATTATGGGTTTTTAAAAAATTATTCTCAAGTCAGGCCAAGTGGTTCATGCCTGTAATGTCAGCTACTTGGGAGGCAAAGATAGATCAGGAAGATCACAGTTGGAAGCCAGCCCAGCAGGGAAGAAGTTGGCAAGACCCCATCTCAACCAAGAAGCCTGAAGTGATGGGGTGGTGCAAGCTGTAGTCCCAGCTGTGCTGGCAGTACAGGCATGAGGGTCATGGCCCAAGGCCAGTGCCAAGCAAAAATGTGAAATACTATCAAAAAAAAAATAATATAAGGGCTGGAGGAAAAGCTCAAGTGGTAAAGTGCCTACCTAGCAAACATGAAGCCCTGAGTTCAACCCCCAGTTCCACCAAAATAAAAAATGTTGTTTAGAAATGTTAGTTACCTTCTCCAAGACTGACCTATGGATTCTGTTTTGGAGCTACAAATTCAAACATATAAGACTTTGGTCTTGCCACTGGACCACACTATCTTTTGCCTTTCTTTCCCTTTTTCAGCACACCCAAAAGGAAGTCATTTAGAATTGTGTTAGGGTTCAGGTAGGTTCTGGGTACAAATCCTCACAGCATACTCTAATGTCCCCCTCCTCCTGAAGAGCATATGTAAAAGCTCAATATGAAATGGGCAACAATGCATTAATTTATAGATTTCCAAACAAACACCTAAATGCCTATGCAGAACCACAGTGAAAAATAGAATACAGAAAGTAGCTAAGAGACCACATGGTTTCGATCCTGAATCTCTTGAATCTTTGCCTGCCCTGAGAGACCCATCTTCAAATTCCAGTTAGTGTCATCACTCAGATACTGAGAAACACAAGAACAAGACACACCCACCAGTGCCAAAGTTGAGAACATCATAGCTTTGGGGACGGGCTGCACATAGTTCACATTGCCCAGAGAGAAGAGAGAATCAAGAGCCACTTTTCACAGTTCTGTACATCCTGTAAGAGTGCCCACTTTATAGTTTGAAGTTCTGTTGAGCATCTTTCAAATTTTCCTTTCCCTGGTTTGCTTCTGCCTCACACTTGGAAACAAGACGTGCTTATTCTCTATGGTGGCGTCATGCTATTGAGACACACCACGCTTGGAATGGGCTCCTTCTCTCATGGGATTGCCTGACAAAGCAATCCACCTGGATTCTCCTTCATTGGCCTCCCTGGGTGACAGGAAGTAATGGAGTTTTGTCACAAAGTGTTTTTCTACCCTGTTGGAGGGGTGGGGGAGGTTTCATCTGCCTTGAGCCTCAGGGAACTCACTGTTGCACACACCTCCTGTTCTTATCTACAGTTCCCACAGAGATTTCTTGTCAAGGTGATCCCAAAAATTAAATCTGTGCAAGTATTTAAAACAAACCCTCCAACAACAATAGCTGAGGCTGTGGAAGGAGTCACCATCCATCCTTCCTCTTGATTGACCATTCAAAGGGAGTTGACATTATTGGTTATTCCCTCCTTGTAAACTTCTTACTCCCAGCTGTGATGATGTCAGCTTGTTCCCCTGCTTATCTGACCACATTTCCTGTTTCTCTTTTCTACTTTCTCTTCTGCCAGCCCGTTAGCATCCCCCACAGCTCCATCTGGAGTCTTCTTGTTTCTTGCTGTGCATACTCTCCTTGGGAAAATTCTTCCATTCCCAGATCTTCAATCATCACCTATTCACTCCAGTCCCAGAGTTCCACAAACTTCCATCTAACTGTCTGAACATCTATGTATCTCCAACCAGATGATATACAAATCATACTTTCCCTAAATCAAATTCGTCTACTTATCTCCTAAGCAGACTGTTTTCTTTTCCCGTACTTACCCAGTTAAAATGGTAAAAACGTGTGTCATCCTTAATGGTTCCTCTCTCAAGAATGCCCCTACACACACCTACAAAACACTTATTAAAACTGTCTACCCATCTTTCCCTGTACCTCCCAGTTATTAGTGCTATTGCCCTATGTCCCTCTCTTGTTAATTCCTGTCTCAACTATTTAAATCATTTTCTTTATTTTTGCCGGTTTGAACTCAGGACCTCACACTTGTTAGGCAGCCACTCTACCACTTGAGCCACTCTACCAGCTAAATCATTTACTAAACAATTTTCCTCTTCACTCCATCTTCTACCTTCACACAGCTGTCTTTCAAATGCATGAAAACGACCACGTGCTTTCTTGATTCATCGTCTTAACCACCTGCACCCTGCTTACAGCAGACAGCTCACTAGCACGGAGGCTATTGAACTCTTTCCTCGCCAGGCCCACCGCCTTACCACGTGGGTTATTGGAAAACCTTAAACCCTCCAGCCATTATAATTCTTCTGATGCTTTGATCATGCTCCCCACTCATTCCAACATAAAAAAAACCTTCTTTTCTGTATGCAAGAACTATTCCATATGTCACCTCCTTCATGAAGCCTCCCTTGTTTCTCATTCTTATTTTCCAAATGAAGACTATTCATAACTCTTTATGGATCACAGCATATTATATAACTGTCATTTTTATGTCCACTTTCCCCTCTGAATTCTGATCTTCCAGAAAATAGGTATGCTACGACTTTGAACCCAATACCCCAATCCCTACCTCTGTGCCTGAGAAGAGAACTTATTGAATGAATAAATATGATGAAACCACAGAAGCAAAAAAAAGATCACTGCAAACATGAGAAGTGTATCATTCACCAAAGTGATTAAAATAGCAGTGATACAGTTTAGTGGACTGTAGGTTGGATACTCACCAACTGAATGATCCATGATAAGTTGCTTTTCTGTAAGTCCTAACTCTTCATCTGGAAATAAAATCAAGAGTCCTATTAGGTATGTCCAGAGGAATGGAAGTTATATATTATATACAAGGTGCTGAGCATAACACCTAGCACCCAGAGCTCAACAAATTATATACATTAGTGTTACTAATTATAAATAAGAAAGTTCAAGAAAGAATATAATAAGAGATAGTGTTGTAAGAAGAAAATTGGTCCAACTTCAATCACTAAACACATATTTATTGGCAACCAAATATGGTTGGTGTATTTTTTACACATGTATGAACACAAAACATTGAAACCTGTTGAAGTCATTTTAAGAAGGGAAATGGGGAAGAAGGAGAACAGTAAGGAAATGAGCCAAACTGGGGTACATTATATATGTATATGGAAAGTCACACCAAAACCCTCTATATATCTAAATGAATAAAAACATTTTAAAAATAAATGGACTGTATTAAAGTGAGTTAGATAAACTTTAGTTTTTAGGAGAAGGGGAAGATAGAAATTCTCTGACCATTTCTATCAGATACCTTTTACTGCCTACACAGTTTTTTTCTGGCTGAATTAGAGATAGGAAAATCAGAGGTGCCATTGTAGAACATGATGGTTGGAGGCAGAATAGAGACCAAGGGATGAATTGCCCCCCCCCAAAAAATCAACATGCATGGTGAGAAATTGGTGGAAAAGGAGAGGAAGCAATCAAGCACGCCTCCAGAGTCAGAGTTTTAGATTCTTACGTTTTTGGAAGCATTCTAACACCTGGTGGAGGTGTCCAACAGACAAAGACACCCATGGGGCAGAGTTTTGGTGAGAGCTTTAAGCTTGCAGCGTAAACTCAGAAGGGATGTTGATGCCTAGTCGATAATAACCTCTCTCCATGAGTTGAATGACATATCATATATTCCATGTAAGCAACAGTAATCACCAACCCAACTGAGAAACTTGAAACTAATGCCAAGTCCAGTTCTTGGCATCAAAGTAGATGGAGATAGAAAGTTTCATAAAACCCATAAAATTCCAGAGTCTTTTGCCTTGGCAGCAGTTTCCCTCTGATAAAAATGAATGATAAAAGAAGAGGGCAAATGAGCAGAAACTACAAATAACGTCGAATACTTCATATTACTTGCAGACTTTCTCAATGGAGTGTTCTAGAGACGGTTGTAATAAATGTATGTATGTATCTTGCTAATGGCCCTTTTCTTGAACAAACAGAAGAGTTTCTGTGCACACAGGGTGGGGGAATGAGATCATGAAGATGAGCTGCCAGGGCTATTCAGCAAGTGGGGATCAATGACTGGCCATGTGACCTCATGTTCTGTGTTTCCTACAGAGTGATGCCAATGACCATCCAGTTCTCCATCCTGATTATGCTACACTCAGCTCTGGTTCTCATCACCACAGCAGAGGATTATAAGTGTCTACCTCTCATCCTTCGGAAAACTTGCTGTTGGATTAATGAAACTATTTGGCCCGGAACATCATCATTTTTGCATCCATCTTGATTAACTTCCTGGGTGCCATCCTAAATATTGTAAGTATCCCAAGCTTTCCAGCTCTCTGGTGACTCTATGCAGTTAGGAATTAAGAGTTTATTGGATCCAGCAGCTTCTTACATTGCCCTTTCTTGGCACCTTACCTCTATGTGCCTCTCCAGCCCCAAGCTTAGGGATAGAGAACAAAAATGTGGCTGCTGTCAGAACTGTGTTTTACTCTTGGAAAGGTGTCTTTTTCCAAGTAGAGGTAAAGTTATTTGCTCCAAATCCTCCAAAAAGCCCTTCAGTTTCTGAACTGTCAGTGGCCAATCAATTCTAACAAAAAATGAGTTACCATTTATTCATTAATCACAAGTATCTACCTGCTATGTGCCATGCACTAAAGGAGGAGCTTCGCATACTTTTTGTATTTAACCCTTACATAAGCCCCGTGAGGTAAGTCTCATTTATCCCCACTTTATGGCTGAGGAAACTGAGGCTCAGAGACATGAAATAACTTTCTAATAAGGTCTGTCTGACTCCATGACCCATGCTTATTCTAATATGCTAAATTGTTTCTCTGGGACTGGGGAGGGGGTAGATGGGATGGAGAAAATATAAATGAAATAGCTGCCATTTATTGAGCACCCACTATGTGCAACAGGTAGGTATTATTGTCCCCATTTGATGGATGAAGAAACTGCATTTCAGGAAGGTTGACTATCCTGCTATGATTTTCTAATGGTTTATATTTGATGTGATGCATAGAACTCAGAAGAAATTCCAACTGCCATAATATTCATCACTGTTTTTAATTTTGTGATCCACATTTTAATGATGTCATTTTCTTTCTATATCTGTACCATGGTAGCACTAGGTATTGTCTGTGTGTATGAAAACAATTTTTGTTGTCTATGACCCAGGAAGCTAAGTTTTAGAGGTGTTCAAGCTGATTCCAGCTCTGAAATTTGGCCTGTTGAGACAACCTAGTTGAGGCGTTGTCTTGAGGCTGAAACCATCATTGCACCCAGTGGGCTGTGAAGGAATGTCCCTGAGCATTCAGTGGCCAAAGCTTTAGATGCCCACAGTTATTGGTCTATGACTTGGAGGCTTAGACTGGCTGCAATTCACTGTCCAAATTGGTACCCTAAATACCTTGCTCATGTTCTGTGGTTGCCCTTGTAGTGAAGGACCAAAGGAAAAGGAAAAGAGTAATCTACAGAAGCTCACCATCTCAAGAATATTTTACACATCATAGCAATTGCAATGGAAAGATGTGAGAACTCTGGTCACAAGGCTATGCAGTGTTGGCTAAGATCTCAAGCTTGATGACGAGGCAGATGTTTTGGGAATACATGGTGTGAAAAGAAGTACAATGGCTCTAGGTCAAGGTGACTGCACTGCAGTGGTAAGGCAGGAAGATCAGAGGCTGTGGAGTCAGATAGTCCTGTGTTCAAATCTCAGTTCCAGCAGTCACCAGCTCCATGATTCTGGACAAGTTACTTTACTTCTCAGAGTTTCATATTTTTCAGTTATAAAAGTGGGGATAAAAATAGTAGCTACATCCCAAGGTGGTTGTGAGGTTTTCTGTGCAAAGTGTCTGGCACAGAGGAGGTATTCAGCCAATGATAGTCATTTTTTTTTTCTGAGTACCAAAGAATTGTCCAGCAGCAACATCTGTCCTAAGAAATGCCCATCACCCTGATGCTAAGAGTCTTTCTGGAAAATGTGCCCCATTTCTGTCCCCCAAATCCTCCTGTCTGTTGATCTGGAGACAGGCTGTGAGCTCACCCCAGACCTCTTCTCCTGTCATCCAGCTCTCTCTTCCGAGCCCCACAAGCATAGTCCAGTAACCCTAAGTGATGGGGTCAACAGAGCAGTCTTAACTCAGTTTCATGACTGGCTTACAAAAGCCTTTTCTGAGCCAGCATTTGTTTAAATAAAAGAAGTGATCAAAGTTAGTACCTCCATTCTGCGGTTGAGCCCCCTAGGGACTGTCTACCCCAGGCTTCCCAGAAGCCCTACAGCTGACAGCTCCATTCCCAACACTGACACTGACTTTGTTGTTCCTGTGTCTTTTTGTTTTTTGTTGTTGTTCTTTTTTTTTTAATCCGCAGCTGTGGTGTGATTTTGACAAGTCGATACCCTTGAAGAACCTGACTTTCAATTCCTCAGCTGTGTTTACAGATATCTGCTCCTACCCAGAGGTATTTATTTATAAGCTCCCCTTGGTGAGAGTTGAACATAAACATCTCCACCAGCCCAATGCACAGAACTGGCTGTAGAGCCATTTTCTTTCTTCTTCCTCTTCCTCCTTCCTTCTTCTTACCTTTTTCTGTCTTTCCTTCTTCCCTTGCATCTTCTGCTTCCCCATACTCTTTCTTCATCTGTGCTCTGCCTGTTTCCCGTCTCTACCCTTTCCCTCTTGCTCTCTTCCTTCTTCCTCCTCCTTTTCTGCTTTCTTCACCTTTTCCTCTATCCATTTATCTCTTCCTCCCCTACTCATTTCCCCCTAGCTTGCCTGTAAAATCCTGTAGCAGATTGTGAAAGGGTTTCTATTATCAGGCAAACTTAAAGATCTAACAGTGTTTGCTGTACTTAAGAAATGAAAGAAGAAAGGAAAAGGAAAGGGAAGTAGAGGAGAGGAAAGAAGAAAAGAGGAGAGGAGAGGAAAAGAAAGAGGAAATAAAAGGAGAAGAAACACATAAAGCCAGAGAACTACAACTATACTTTAAATCAAAGTGATAGAAAGATCACCCAGAACACCACTTGGTCAGGAGACATCCCAACAGGATACCCATGATTGTTGGACTCTCTCTTGGCTCAAGAGCCACTGATCTATTTCTGGGCATTGAGGTCTGTTAGTCCAAATTCCACATATTGGGTAGAATTTCTGAATCAGGAAGAGCAGCTGATAGAACCCACCAGACTCCAACCAACTCCATGTCCTAAGGACTCTAGATAGACTTGTTCTCTAAAAAGCTGCCACACTCAGAAAGTCCTCCAACATGTGAGGAGAGAAAAGGCTCTGCAATCTCTCCTAGGCTGAGAATTGGTGTGAACAGCATTTTGAAAAGAAGAGCAAGCTTCATCTCCCTTCACCTATGTGCATAGAGCACCTACTTAAAGTGGAGTACATCATTAAATCCTCTAGATGTACGGAGTAGAGACTACATTTTATCACCATATTACAAATAATGAAACTAGGGCTCAGAAAGTAACCTGCTTATTGCCCTTAGCTGCACTCCTGCCTGACTTCCTTTCTTCCTCACTTCCTTCTGTCCTTCCTTCTCTTTCTGAGTTATCGTGGCTTAGTACTGTAATTCAAACCATATCTACATTACTCTTGATCCCAGGAGAAACTACAGTCTTCCTAGGGAAATGCAGGGCCAGATGACATAGACCACATTCCCTGGGACACCTTTCCCTATTTAGAGGACTCTGTGGGATGCTAACTTCCTGAGAACTTCTTGGTTTGGAGGGCATGGGGAGTGTCCCAACTTTAGGAAAAAGTAAGGAAGCCCAGACTTGGATATTCAGAGAGAGGTAAAATAGATTTCACTTTCAACCAAGACAGTTATTTCTCTCTCAGAACCTTAGTATTCTCATCTGCAAAATAGGAAAATGAATACCTGTTGTGGAGCTCATGCTGTCTACCTAGATGAGTTGGCAAATGCTTAGTCCCTAACATGCATCTGACATGAAGTAGATGTTCATGAATATCGGTCTATGTCCCCATGTCATTGTAAATCAACACTCTATACCCTTGAGCTTCCAATCTCAGGACCATAGCACTCATGGATTTGCCAGTCTAAGAAGGTGGTAGGTAAACTTTTTGATGACATACCTTTGTTTCTGTGCCTCTGTCCTTATTAATAAAAAGGATAAAAGTAGTGACTTCTTCATTAAGTGGCTGTAAGGATTAGGTGAATTAATCCACGTAAAGTATTTAGGTTCACACTTGGCACAAAGTGCATGCTCATTAAATGTCAGCCATGATTCATTTGTTATTTCTAGTAGAAAATATTCTGAGCATATTCTCTCAATAAATAACATATTTACTATTTTCTTCCATAACCAGAGCATCATCTTGCTCATGGGTCAGTAAACTATGGCTATGGAATAAATTTACCAGCTATTACAAACACCTAATTTGACTGACCATTGCCAGTCCTGTATGCATAACTGTTTTTCTATCCTTAGGCATTTGTCTGCCAAACTAGAAGGAATTAGACATTCACACATAAGAAAGCTTACTCAACCCCCAGCAACAAAAGTGTGTGTGTCCCCAAGCAAATCACCTGACCCCTCTGAGCCTTGGGCTCCTCAGCTGTATACCTGATGTTTTTACCCCACCCCACAAGAAACCATGCCCCATTCAATAGCACACTATCAAATTGGATGAAGTGATATAAACATGAGGCTGTTATAATATGTTCTACAAAGAATAATTTAGCTCTGAATTAGAAGAGTGAAAATGCAGAAATGAATAAAGAAAGCCACACCCCAATTATGATTTGAGAAACAATCTAGAGGAGGGCAAAGACATGCGTCACTTTATAAAACGAACACAGATTGCACTCAAGAACCGAGTGTCATAATCTCCAACACCTGGATGTGCGTCTCAGGATGCTCAGTGGGAAGACCCTCACTTCAGAATCATGCCCCATTTGTATGTGATCTGGCACATGTGAACATCAGCTCACTGTGTTTGTAAGAGCAGTCAGAGTTACTGTGTTCACAAAATTTCCCTGACAACCGGTTTCTCAAAAAAACCTGTGTCATACACCCTGGCACTTTCTTTCTCCTTTTACCCCCTGGGCAGGTCCTGCCCAGCCTTCAAGCCTCTCTCCTTTAGCTGATCCAACTCCTTCACCTCTCTCTTTCCAGCTGTCTCACATACCCTGATGGCATCATTAGTGCTCATACTCTGTTCTTTCTGTAGTTGATTTATCTAGCTAGAACATTCTTCCCATCCTTGCAAATGTATAAATTTCCTTAACAAAAAGAATATATTACTGTATAGTTATTCAAAATTAACCAAAGGTCCAGCTAAGGACAAAGTCTACCATCTACTTAACAATTGTTTAAAGAGAAAGAAAGTATCTTTCCAATGGAGTAACATGGAAAGATTTGCCTTTCCACCTGAACAATGGAAAAACCAGCAAAATTAATATATTACACAATAGTTTTCAAGACATTGGACATTAGGCAATAAAGGACAGTAATCCCTAAAAACAGACAGGAAGCAAATAAAGTGAGCCCTGTGGCTGCCTTACCTTTGTTATTGCTTTGAAGAGGTTTCAGACTGCAGCTCAGGGAGAGGAGCCCAAATACAAGCCAATGAACTCCTAATTTAGGAACAATCAGCTGAGAGTTCTGGAAGACCAAGGTGACTAGACTTTGCAGAACACGCTACCGGAGAGGAAAGTATTACATTGAAACTCAGAGACAAGCAGAGTGCAATCAGTGCAAACACGAGCAAACTAACTGATTCTAGAAAAAGAACCATCAGAAAGGACCGGTGACTGGAACCCACACAGGGCTTGGAACAGTGTTTGTTCCCATCAGTCAGACTGAGAAACATCATAATTCATGACATACTTGATTGTCTCAGTAATGTGAAATAATTACTTCTAGATTATATGCTGTTTTGGTTCTTCCTTAAAAATTATAAATTTTAAGACCCAAAAATATCATGCCATTTCCATGGAATTTAGTTAGTTCCCAGAAGAAATTTCAAAAATATTTAAATGAATATTAAAAATCTAGGATTTGGCAAGGTAAAGTTACTCTATCTGACATCTAATCAAACATTACCAGACATTGAAATATGATTGACACTGGGAGGGAGAATCAATTAATAAACTGACCCTGCATGTGATAATTAGCAAACATGGACAATAAAATAATTATTATAACCATTCCAGAAATTTAAAACTTAAGAGAGATGGGAGATAGATAGATAGATAGATAGATAGATAGATAGATAGATAGATAGATATAGATGGTCCACATGGAATATCCAGTGGTGAAATGGTGATGTGAGAGATGAAAACTACTGGGAAGAAATTACTAGAAGATTAAACATTAGCGACAAAAAGTAATGAAACCAATAACATAGCAATAGAAGCATCCAAAATAATAAAGTAGAAAATCAAAACAAGAATTAAAATTAAAACAGCATCAAGGACAATATCAAGCAACACAATATATGCACAATTGGAGCCCCCAAAGAAGAGAAGAGAAAGAAGTCAACAAAAACTATTTGAAGAACTCAAGCCCAAATTTTTCCAAATCTGATGAAAATTATAAATGTACAGAGCCAGATACCTCAAAAACCCCAAGCACAGAAACATCACACACATACACACACACACTTATACACACACATCACATCATCAAATTGCTTAAAACTAATAATAAACACAAAAACTTAAAAGAAAGTTGAGCAGAGGAAAATATATTCCATAAAGAAAAAGGTAAAACTCACAGCAGATTTTTTTTAAAGGTAACCATGGAAACCAGAATTTAGAATAAACCAAAGCATTGCAAAATCATACCAGAATAAAAAATGTTCTGTTCCTAAGACCATCCAGTCAATAGCTTGGCAAGTCAGACCAGTGTTCTTCACTCACACCCCAATGACCCAAGGATTATGACCCCTCATTCCTTGAACATGCGATGAACCCAGGCTCAGGCTCAAGGAGAAACAGAGGAGCTTTGTCTTTGGCCTGTGCACCCTTAACTGTGCTGCATCCACCAAGATCTGCAGGTGCCAGGAATCAGGTTGTATGAGTCAATCAATGTTCAGACTGCTTCTTTGAACAATAGTGACCTTTGATTGCTTGTCTGACTTTTTTCTTCTTGCTGTGAGAGTTCACGGTACCATGGGATCAGGGAAGCAACCAAATGGTCACAGAGTCCACTTTGCATGACTTGTGTAGGCAGATGCTCAATTCCTTTTCCATTTATCATTGTAAAATTCCTCTTCTCCCTCCTCTTCCAAGAGGAAAATTCACACATATTCCCATGGTAATTCATGGCACATTATGACAATGTTCTAAATCAATATTGTGCCTCCCTGTCTGGCACAATTTTGGTGCATAGTAGATCCTCAGTTAACAACTGTGTATTAACAAATGCATGGTTTAGTGTGCAAAATGCTCATGTAGACAGAATCAGATATTGCTCCCCTTACCACGTTGTCAAGTCAAGGAATTTCAATTTTTTTTCGGACTTAGAAGAAATTGCTTCATTTGTGATTTCCCAGACCAGTATATTGTCTGAGAAAAAAAGCCTTAAGTATTCAGAAGCAGAAAAGTGCTCTATGTGCTTCTCTTCTTCTGCAGAATGGATATAAGAAGGGCTGAGTATGGTGGTTCTTGCCTGTGATCCCAGCTACTCAGGAGGTGGAGTTTGAGAGGATTTCAGTTCAAGGCCAACCTGGGCAAAAAGTTAGCAAGTCACCACCTCAACAGATAAGCTGGATGCAGTGGTGCTTAATTGAAACCCCAGCTATATTGGAGGCATAAGTAGAAGGATTACAGTTACAGTCTAGGTTGGTCTCTAGCCAAAACCATGAGGACATACCCTTCCCCACAAAAAAATAAAAACAAAAAAGGGCTGAGAGTGTAGTTCAAGAAGTAGAGAACCTGTCTAGCAAGTCTGAAGTCCTGAGTTCAAATCCTGGTACCACCACAAAAAGGAGGGGAAGGCATAAGACTAGTGCCTATCCTTGCGTTATTTTAAGAATCAAATGAAGTAAAGCATATGAAGTCATTCATAGAGTACTTTGCAGAGGCTATATGCCCAATAAATTTTAGCTGGAATGATTATATCTACCCTCTACTCACTTACCCTTGAAGCACAAATAGTGCTTGAGCCAGTGGGACTCAAGAAGTCATAAGCAAGTCTTCAACAATGAGTCACTTAGTGATTATCAAGACCAGCATTCCACATTTACATGAACTGGTTGTATGCAGGTGACCTAAGTACCATTTTCTAACTTCAATATCTTCAACAATTTCCTTAAACTCTATACACCTCAGTTTCTTAATCTGTAAGATGGGGTTATGATTCCCATCTTGACCAGTTATTTTGAATACCACAGGAGAAAATGTGTATAGAGGTATTGAAATCAAAGGATCGCCACAAAGTGCCTTTGATAATGTGTTTTATTCTTTTTTTCCATTGGACAATCACAACCTGAACCCATCACCAAGAATGATATATTGTGATTCTTCTGTAAGTGAAATAGGTGGAGGAGCATCACAAAGAATGCTGGGATCTATCTAGGCAGACTGACACTGGAAGGCTACTCCAGTATTCCAGCTCTTGAATGATTTCAAATTTGCAATCTGAACAGTTTCTTCAGACATAGGGTGACAGGTGTCGTGCCAGTATCTGCAGGATGCTGTGGAGGAATGTGGCAGGATTCAGAAGCACTGGAGGTGACCCAAAAGGTTTCTCAGGAAGAGACACTTGAGTCAACCTTTGTTGTTGAGTAAGGCATAGTTGAATGGAAGAGAGTTGAGTAACAGAGCACTAAGGATGGAAGAATAGTCTAGAAAGCAAAAAAAGATCTAATGTACCAATTTGAGGAAGTGAAGAGCAATGAAAGGATTTCAAGTAAGGAGAGACAGGGTCAAGCTTGTGTTTTAGAAAAACTGGGTACAGAATGACCATATGTATTGGGTCAGGATTGGAGCCTAACATCAGGCTCAGCTGCCAAAAAAATTTTCCAGAGTAGTCCCTGATAACTGAAACAAAGCAGGTAGAAGGAAGAAGCTGGCTGGATGCAAAATCTGGTACAGAAGTAGGACCTGTAGAGTTAGGTGACCTGACTGTGCAATACGATGAGACTGAGGTTTCTGCCTTGGGGAATAATGTTAATGGTGATGCCATTCACAGCATTAAGAGGCATGGGTTTGAGGGTAGGAAAATGAAGAGTGAATTCCATGTAGTCCTAATACCTTCAGGGGAAATGCTCAGCAAAACCTGTACAAGGAGACCTGTCAGCACCCACGGCTAGGAGAGGGAGCTTCTGAGGTTCCTGTGGAAACTGACCATCAGCTTTCTCTGTTTTCAGTACTTTGTCTTCACGGGGGTGCTGGCCATGGTGACCTGTGCAGTTTTCCTCCGACTGAACTCTGTCCTGAAGCTGGCTGTGCTGCTGATTATGATTGCCATCTATGCTCTTCTGACAGAGACCATCTATGCAGGCCTCTTTCTGCGTTATGACAACCTGAGCCACAGTGGAGAGTAAGTGTCCACTGCTGCATGTTGAAAAAGTGCTCAACTTTCATGGAAAATGAACCACTGGGGAAATAATTGAGGAAGAGTTATTAAAGCTTGGGGATTGATTTGATATTGACTTAAATCCCAACTTGGGCCTTCTCTAGCTTACAAGTCTAGGCACAATCCTTCCTTTTTTAGTTGTCATTTATGTGAATTTTAAGTAGGTTGATTATTTAAAATCTAAATAGATTCCTCCAAACCTAATAATTTAAGATTTCTTCAATGTTGATAGTTCTAAAACTTGTAGAATCTAATTTTAATCAAATTATAGCAATATTAATGATAGCCACTGTGGATTGAACACTTATGCCTCCTGCTTTGCTATTTTTGAATTTGTTATTATAGATAGATAGATAGATAGATAGATAGATAGATAGATAGATAGATAGATATAGATATAGATATAGATAGATATATAAACACTACTACAAAAAGTAGTGTTTTTGCCTAGATAACCCTAGAGTAAAGGGCCCTAGGCAAAGCTTAAGTTCTAATGCAACCCCAGGGCAGTGAAAGTGAGAAAAAAAGAAAGTGGGGAAGAAAAGAATGGGAGAAAAATGCAAACTCATACCTTGAAGAGCCACTCAGTAAGTCAATTGAAGTGTCTCTGGATAAGTTTTAAGGTGGGGGGGGAATGTGTCAGAGCAGAGGAAGGCAGAAGAAAGTGTCTTGTGGTTCTGTCCCTCTCCTTTTCCCACTGGTCACAGTTCAGTCTCTGGATATACTTCCTAGTGTTATCACTTGGACCTTTCTGTAGCCACTGGGGAAACCAGACCTCACACAGGAAGTAGTGGGAGGAGCCCAACATTGAATGCTGGGCACAGATGTCTCATTGAGGCCAGAACATGTGGCCAACAGTCAGAGAGAAAGAAAAGACCAAGATAATCCAAGAAACCTCAGAAAATGTGTCTGAAACTAGCATGAACATCTTTGAACCCCTGGAAATAATCAACACTAACAAGTAGTCATATTTACTTCCACATTTATAAAAGAATAAAGTATTTCAGTTATTGTTCAAATTCCCTTCCCTAGTTTTAAGTCTCCTTTCTTTCTCCCAAGGGCCAGCTCCTAATAATTTAATATATATCCTTTCCATCCATGATTTTCAATAGTTAACTTTTGTGTCTATAAATTATAATTTCCTTTTTGTCATATAATATTATCTTTCTAAGATCCATGTAGATTGATAACTATAGATCTAATTTATTTTACCTGTGACCTGTACATATTATATAATATGAACATCCCAACATATATTTTATCCTTTGACATATTAATAGACATTTAGGATATTGCTAGTTTTTCCTGTCATAAAAATGCTTCAGTAACCATCACTGACCCTGTCTCCCGGGGCTGTACATAAAGCACACTTGCTGAATTGCAGGGTTTCTGCATTTGCCACTTTAAAAAATATCATATTACAAATTGCTCTCCAATATGATTGAAGCAATTTTCCTCTTACATGCCACAGTCCTGTTTCTTATTCTCACCCACACCATTATTCAACTTCTTGAATCTTGCTGAATTTACGGGAGTGTATTTTATCTCATTGTTTCTATTTGTAGCTCCCTGATTATCAGTAAGTTTATGGATCTTTTTATTTATTTATTAAACATTTGGGTTTCCTTTTATTTGAATTGCCAGGTCACACCTTTGCCCAGTTTTCTGTTGGATTGTTCATATTTTTCTTGCTAAACTTATAAGACTTCTTTCTGTTTTTAATTGAAAAACAAAAATTGTAGTATTTATGGCTTACCAGATTATTTTTATATGTGCATACATTATGGAATGGCTAAATTAAGTCAATTAATATGTGCTTTGCTGGACATACTTATTTTGGGGGTGAGTACACTTAACATCCACTCTCAGGAATTTTCCAGAATACACTACATTGCTATTAACTATAGTCACCATGTTGTAGAGATCTCTTGAGGTTATTTCTCTTGTCTAACAGAAATTTCGTATAATTTGACCAACATCTCCTCCACTCCTTGCTCCCAGCTCTGGTAACAACCATTCTGCTCTCTGCTTCTGTAAGTTCATTTTTTTAGATCCCATATTACAAATGAGAACATACAATATTTGTCTTCCTGATTCTATTTTATTTCATGTCATATAATGTCCTTCAGATTCATCTATGTTGTAGCAAATGGCAGGGTTTCCTTATATTTTAAAGGTAGGTAGTATTCCACTGTAGATATGTATCATGTTTTATTTTACTCATTAATCTTTTGGTGGGACACTTAGGTTGCTCTCCCATGCTCATTGCATTGTTATTCATATTAGCCAGGATGTAACAGTTCTTCATAATTTCTAGATACAAAAGCATGTCTGTTACACAGGGTACACCATGTGTTTTATATGCTTTATTTTATTTAATCCTTATAGTAACATTCTGAAGACCATAGACTGTGAGAGGTTAACAATTACTTAACCTCAGGTGGCCAATAAATAATGTGTCTGAATTAGAACTTACATCTTTCTGGCTCCAAATTCCACCCTTGTAAATACTGTCTATACCTCTCTTAAATCATCCTGAAGAACTTCCTCAAAGAAAGTCAAAACAATTCCAAATTAAATAAGATGGTAAGTGGCAAGAAATTTCCTCTGACCATGCAGATATGAACACAAAAAAGGACAAAGAGATATATGAATAAAATAGGCCATCTTTATAGTAAAAATAACACCAACTAAACCTTATTAGCTAAAAGGGAAACACAGTACTTATTAATAGAATAAGCCAGGGCTTTGGCCTCAAATCCACACTCTCACATTGGAAAGAAACTTCCCATCTCTGGATCTCACTTTTGCACAAGTGGAATGTATGTACCCCATCGACATTAGTCAGCTTGGGCTGCCATGACATCATACCACAGGTACACTGAGGGACTTAAACATGGAAATTTATTTCTCTCAGTCCTGGATTCCGAGAGGGCTCAGGTACACAGTGAAGCTGATCAGACTCCTGGTGAGGGCTCTTCCTAACTTGCACATGGCCACCTTCTTGCTGAATCTCCAAAAGGTGAAGAAAGAGAAAACCTTGGTTCCTCTTCCTATTTTTAAAAGAGAACCAGGCCTATTAGCCTTAAATATCTCCCTTTAGATGCTATCTCACATGCTGTAATATTAGGAGTTAGTATGAATTGGAATGTGGGCGCAATTCCATCTGTAGCATTGTCCCAGGGCTATGATGAGACTCTAATGTGTGTCTAATGTGTGTTTATTCTCTGCTCCTTCTTAAAAGTTTCATTATGAATTCAGATTTGAAATCGTCAAGAAAGGTTTAGAGTGAAATTTTAAGTCAGGTTCATAAAAGTAAAGATAACTCCAAATTCATTGTTCGTTCATTCAATGAACGAGTGTTTTCTTTCAGCTTTTTCTTCGCTCAGAGTTAACCCGTGTTTAGTCTTGGATCATATCATTGTTGGCAATCAACAAAATTAAGGTAGTAAAGAATGAAGGAGCTCAGTGTCTCAGCTGCAATACAGGCAACAGGTCACTAGTCACTGTGTGTCCATTCAGCAGTCACAGGATAATGGTTCTTAACTCCTGCTTTAGGAGTTCATCTAGTTCAGAGGCATTTCCATGGCTTGCTTCTGGTTGTCAGATAGTTGGGAAAAGCAGATAAAATATAAAGTATGAAAATCACAAAGACTCTTGCACCAGACAGTCTGGACACTTCTCCATTCGAATGGTCACAATTACTTCAGACTGGCATCTCCCAAACTGTTTGTTGGTCCTCCCCGTGACAACCTATGGACTCAGTAGATAACACTGTATCTCAAACAGGAGAGGCACCTCACTCCCAATATCTTATTAGTCACTAGAGATTAACCTTCCCCTGCTTCTTATAATATAATATTATATCATATAATATTGCCTGTGAGCACAAGTTTAGGAGTTAAACCACCTGGATTCAAATCTCAGTTCTTCCATTAACCAGATGTGTGATCTTGATCAAATAAATTTAAAATTATATAACTTCTCGAAGTCCCATTTTAATCCATCAATGAAGTAGGAATAATAATACTTCCTATGCTGTAGGAACACAAAAAGGATCAAATATGATCATAGAAACCTAGCACCAGACCTAGCATAGAATAATCACTTGATTGCTGGTAGCATTTATTAGACATCACATCTTCATACCACTATATGCTAGCTAACAGCATCAGCTTTTCTGGTTCTAGCAATAATTACTCCATTTTGTAAATGATGGTGCTGGGAGAGGGTCTCCCACCAATACCCATGCTGAAGTTTGAAAGTGCAATGATACTATTTATGTATACTCTTCATCTGCTTCCAGCAGAACACCAAAGACATTTGTCCTAATTCAACAAAATCTGTCAAGATCTACCATGCACCTATTGTTACACAGTAGGTGCTCACAAGAGGACAAGTATCATCTCTGTCTTTTATTTCCCTATTCAGCAGGTCCTCCTCCTCATCTCATTCCCCAGGCACACACATCTGGATCTCTACTTGCCGTCTTTGCCTATTCTCCTATCTGACATCTGGAGGCCGAACATCATGAGCAAGGGGGTTCTCAGAGGTCCCCAGGCTACATGGTTACCAAAAATCATCCTTGCAAGGCTATATCAATAGTATTATATATCAGTAGTATTATGTATTTAAGACATTTCAGACATAAAAAATGTGCTACCAGATGAAGCTCCCACAAGTGAGAAGGAGTTGGAATAATGTCAAGGAAAAAAAAAAACACACATGAAAAATCATTTGGAGAGAACCAAAGAAATTTGGTGCTGGCATAATCTAGAAACCATGTGGCATGGGAACAGATTTATTCTGACCTAAGTTGTAACCAGTTTGATCCATGTTTTAACTCATATCTACTTGTTTTAATGTCCTGCTGTCACCATCTTCAATTGGGGAGGAGGGGCAATACTGGAGTTTGAACTCAGGGCCTGAGATAGACAAGTGCTCTAGCTCTTGAACCATGTCCC